CTTTCTTTAGATTAGTTGCACAATTATCAAGTTATGAGCTTAGTTTCCAATTGATCCAGTTAAATCAATACAATTAGATTATGCTGGAGCATTTATATCCGGTGTTTTAATAACCAACCCAGGGTGAAACCTGACAAAGTGGTCGGGTCCCGAGTTGACCAGTGTCCAAAAGTTTAAAATATAAGAAAAACACCCCTGACAATCACATATAAGTCTCTACAAGTTTGAAATCTTGCAAAATACCCCAAACACCACTGCCAGTGTTGACAAACCAGGGCAAATAGGATCTGTTTCTGGCGATGACAACACCCTCCATCACCACGAAAACACTCCCCTTAGCCTCCTGACCAAAACTCATCTCACCCCTCCCCCGATTGCCTCGCCAATCGGCGGTAATAGCTCACTGTTGCCACCGATTTAGTTTTGCAATTTCTAGTCGATTCACTTACTGGAAATCACCTCCGTCGCTACCATTGCACTCACCGACCCTTCCTTTTCAAAACCCCTAACATCCCGGCCTCAATTGTTTGTTGATCATTGTCACAATTTCTAGGGTTTTTGGTGAATAGGAAAATTGCCAACTCGGCCTGGTTAAGGCCCTGGGTCTTTTTTCAACCGGCCAGGCTGAACTGGGTTTTAAAACATTGTTTATATTGAAGACTTTTGCTGACTTTTGCATGACCATGGGTATTCCTGTTAAGCATCAAGTTTCACACCTACATACCTAAAACGGATTAGTAGAATCATTGATCAAGCATTTGTAAGTTGTAACAATTTCACGGACTTTGCATCTGTGTATGTACACATTTGTAATTTTGATGGGACCTCATCGTCGTTTGAGAATTAAATGTCGGTCAATTTAAACTTTCCTTCTATCATCAAATATCTTGAATTTTAAGCAACTAATCACTTTACTACATGTTTTATTTTAAATATTTATAGACTTTCTTCGATCATATTTTATTGGATGATACTTTTAGGGGGCGTTTGGTTGGGGGTTATCCTTTATTATTGGGATAATGTCATCTTATATTACTTAGATTACCATGTTTGGTTGTCAAGTAATATAAGATTCTAGTAATCTTCCAAAAGCAATAGTAATTATTATTGCTTATATAGGTGGTAATCTGAATACCTCTATTTTCTTAGGTATTTTAAGATTACTTGGTAATCTTAATTTTGTTACAATTTTACCCTTAAAGAGGCGTTTGGATCATATAATGTTTTATTATAGGAGGATGTTATATTAACAGAAAGATATATCACCTTGAAGATTATTGGGAATGTTTAGAAAATGTGTTAGGTTTGTTTGAATAAATTGATGAATAATATGTTTGGTTGGGAGGATAAATGGGTGGATATGTTATATAGATTACTAAATTGCCCTCCTTTTTATATATTAATATAACAATATATTTTATTATTTTTTTAACTATTTTTTAACCCCCTATATTTGAAATTTTGCTAAAACACCCCAGCCATATAAAACTTTAATTTGTAGCAAAATCACCTCCACCCACCCCAAGCCACTGTCGGCAGTCAGCCAACCACCACCGTTGGTTGCTGCCAACAGTCGACAAAATGGTGCACGATTGACCGTATATGGCCGGCTATGCGCTAGCAAAGCCATTTCCGGCCATGGATCACAAATCTATGGCCATTTCACGACCAAAGATGTGGTCGTGAAACGACCATAGATCTGGTCGTGAAAATGCCAGATCTTTGCCTGTGTTATTTCACGGCCACATCTTTGGCCATGAAATAGGCTAGACGACCATAGAAATGCCAGATCTGGCCATAAAAGGCATTATTAGAGCATGATTGGCTAGATCCCGCTGGTCATGCACCATTACAGTGATTGATGCTGGAGGCTTGTGGTGGTGAGTAATGGCCAGCGGTGGTCTTGGGTGGTTGGGGGTATTTTGTTAACTTTTAAACTTTTTTGTGATTGAGGTGTTTTAGCTAATTTCTCAAATATAGGGGGGCTGGTAATTGTTATTTGGTAGACATTTGAGGGTAATTGTGTCAGAAATGATATTTAATTAAGGGCAAAATGGGTAACAAAAAATAAGATTACCCGGTAATGTTTTAATCATCGGAGTACCTTCAACATTACCAACAGTAAACACTATTTGCAATAAAAGATTCCCGTAATATTTTATTACTTGCAAACCAAACATCGGAATCTTGCAAAATAAACGAAGATTACCTTTGTTATCTTATATGCCCTTGATCCAAACGCACCCTATCTATTAAAATTTTTGGATAATAATATCCTTATTTTGAAATTAATTTACATGAACCTGCCATTACAATTTTACCCCTAATTAATTAAGTTTTGGACAGTAATGCCCTTATATTTAAAACAAATTACAAGCCACCTAAGACCTCACCAACCACCATCGTCAGTGGCAACCGTTGGCTGACGTCGCCGAAACGGCACACGACCGACTAGATTTGATTGGTTGTGCGCTGATCTGCTAGAACGACGCACGACCAGTCGGATCTGGCTGGTCGTGCATTGATCTGTCAATTTCCGGCCAGATCGATGGCAATAGATCTGGTTGGAAATGGCCAAGTTTGTGGCAGATCTAGTCGTTAACGATCATTGATTTGGTCGAAAATAGCCATATCGGTGCACGGCTGGCCAGATCCGGTCGATCATACATCGTTCTGATGACTGCTGGTGACGGCTAGCAATGGCTTGGGTTGGGTGGGGGTGATTTTGTTAGAAATTAAACTTTTATGTGGCTAGGGTGTTTTAGCAAAATCTCAAATGTAGTGGGTTAAAAGAAATGATTAAAAAAATAATATTATATTAATATTTAAAAAGAGGGCAATTTAGTAATCCATATAACATATCCACCAATTTATCCTCCCAACCAAATATTTTAATATAACATACCCATTAATTTATTCCAATCTAACCAAATACATTTCCTAAACATTTTCAATAATCGTCACAACAATATAATAAGGCTCTGTTTGGTTCACTTTTTAGAAAAGTTTTTTGAAAAAAGTTAAAAAAAGTTGAATTGGGCGGGTATTACGATGTAGGATTTGAAAATTAATAAAAATGCCCTCTATGTTTTTTTTTTACTAAACACCCCTATAATAAAACATTAAAAGTTAACAAAAACACCCTCAACCCACCCATTAAATATGGACAGCCGACCACCACCGTCGGAGGGTGGCTGGAGTCGTCGTATTGATGCATGACCGACTGGATCTTACCGGTCGTGCGCCGATATGGCCTTTTCCGACCAGATCCACTAGATCTGGCCGTCAGGCCGTATTTGCTTGTCAATAACGGCCAAAGATACGGTCAAAAATACGGCCGTCGTTGATGATTAACGATGACCATCTGTTGGCAGTCGTTGACGACTGGCTACGGCCAAAGATCTGGCCTTTTCCGGCCAGATCCATCGTGGATCTGGCTGGAAAAAGCTAGATCGGCGCACTATCAGCCAGATTCAGCCAGTAGTGCGTCATTATACCAGATTCTAGCCATTTTTCGGCTATGGTGGCCGGAATCTGGTAAATATGGGTTACTGGGGTTTTTTTGTAATTTTTAAAAAAATATTTATGGGTATATAATTAAATTAACAAATTTAAAGGGTTTAAAAAAAGTTGAATAATATTGTGAGTTTTTACAATTTTAGTGTTTAACTTTATTAGGAATACTAATAATAGTATTTCCAAATGTGAGCCAAACGAAGCCATAACATTTAGGGTGAAATTGTGCTATATTTTTTCTATTTAATATCAGTTTTATTGGGCTTTGATTATGTAATCTCTCTGATTGGTAGTCCATGGCCTTAGACGAACTGCCACCCCAGCCAAATATGGACCTTCGGTTTGGATTCTCCACCTGTTTTACCGAACGTTTCAGATATTTTTTTATCTTACATTCGAAAAGTTTTAATACAGTGAATAATAATGTCATATGAATATCGAAACTTATATGAAACATTAAAACCGACTCGATATAGACCTAGCCCCGTGATTCTATCAATTAGGACTATTTGAGACTGAAGAAAATATGTTACCCATTTGAGCAGTGTTAATATATTTTTAATTAGATTAGGAGGAAGGGGACATCAATTAGCAAAAGGGATTCTTAGATCCTCCAAATCTCATTAGTTTGAAGCCCAAGGTCACAAGAAATCTATGTAATCTAATCCCTTGCCCATGAAAGAAGAAATTAAGGGCACTCAATTTTGCAATTAAAAAAGGGGCAACATCCAACTAACAAATTGGCATCTTTGTCCATGCTCAAGCATTTCTAAATACATGAAATGAAGGCCAATTCCAAAATTTCCAACTAAAATGAAGTGCCCATTAATGAAATAATAAAATTTCTGTAATAAACAAAGTATTTGATGGTGATTGAAGAACTGCAGCAATAGTAAACAAGGGCACACAAATACATAAAAGAAGGAAGGGTCAGCAACTAAAGATGTCTAAATTCAAGTGCCATAATTAATTTGACTCTTTTGAGCATGTTGCCTTTACAAGTTTAAACAGCTCAAAATTTTACCTCATCAAGACACGCTACTTAGAGTTTAGTTGGAACCACTACTATTTTCTGTGTGTAGAAATATGGAAAACAAATGGAATTCTTAGCACAATAAGTTTGTGTTTCAGGCTTTCAGCTATACAAATAAAGGGTCAATTTCAAATCTGGTTTTCTGTAGAGTTTTTAAGGTGTAACCTACACTTTATTTTTATTCTTAAATTGAATCATCAATTCCCTTTTGAAGTGTCTAACTTTGTTTAATCTCAGTGAACAATTCAATTGTCCAGGCTGGGCTTTTCTGGTGCAAAGAAATGTTTTATCACGTTTGGTCTTATATCAACGAATTCCTCAATGGGTTAGTCTAATCATATAATATAATTTTCATTTGGTTGATGTTGACATATTTGATATCTATAAATTGGAGCCATTCAAGGCCAAGACATAATTCTACACAAGCTCAAAACTAGCAGATTTCTTCATACTGTATAACAACCAACAAGATATTGCACTTCGAAGTTCAAGCCCGCTATCCCATCTTCAAAGTTTGAAAAAAATATGGGATTTTCAAGTTGTTTGATGGTTTCATTTGTGTATCTTTTCCTGGCGGTTTATGTGGTTAATGGACAGCCTCTGGTTCCCGCAATGTTCATATTTGGGGATTCTGTTGTTGATGCAGGAAACAACAACCACATTAAAACTATTGTAAAAGCAAACTTTCCTCCTTATGGAAGAGACTATCTCAATCACACTGCAACTGGCAGGTTCTGCAATGGCAAACTAGCTGCAGACTTCACAGGTACTTCATCATTTCATCTTTGTTCTTTTAGGCAAACTTGACAGCAAGAGAGAATTCATTAACAATAAAAAGAGCTGAAAAAGCTATGCATGGCTAAAGTTCAATGCGTTTCATTCATGATGTCCTAATGGGGTTTGTGCTTTTGACTAATTTTCTTGAAAACAGCTGAGAATTTAGGCTTCACTTCATATCCACCAGCCTATCTTAGTTATGAAGCCAGAGGAAACAACCTTTTGATCGGCGCCAATTTTGCTTCCGGTGCTTCCGGTTACTACGAAGCTACGGCAAAGATATATGTAAGAACAATGAGAGCCAAAATTTCTATCTGTCTCAGTTTGCATAGTTTGTTTTATTGTGTGGTGTTTCTGGTGTTGCAGCATACCATCCCGTTGAGTCAGCAGCTGGAGTTCTTCAAGGAGTATAAGGAAAAGTTAGTGGAGATTGTAGGACAATCCAATGCTTCATCAATCATAAATGGATCGGTTTACCTTGTCAATTCCGGGAGCAGTGACTTCGTTCAGAACTACTACATCAATCCTCTTCTTTACAAGGTCTACACACCAGATGAATTCTCGGACATTCTTATCAAATCCTATGCAACTTTCATTGAGGTCTCTTCTTCTCAAACTCGGATTTTCCTCCTCTTTAATTTATGTAAAAGCAGATAGCATGGACATCACCATTGCATTGCTAAGACCATACATAAAAATTTTGTGACAGGAACTGTATGAGCTAGGAGCAAGGAGGATCGGAGTGACAACATTGCCACCACTAGGATGCCTGCCGGCTACCATAACAATTTTCGGCTCTGATATAAACGAGTGCGTCGAAGAGATAAATGAAGATGCAGTTTCATTCAACTACAAGCTAAACGACACTTCTATAATCGTGCAAAATAAGACTTCTGGACTCAATCTGGTAGTCCTGGACATCTACCAGCCTCTCTATGATCTTGTCACCAAGCCTTCTGATAATGGTATGCGATATAAATAAAACAAATTCACTTAA